AACCCACAGCCCTAAACCCCAAACCCCTAAACCCCTAAACCCCTAAACCCCTAAACCCCCAAACCCCTAAACCTTAAACCCTAAGGGGCTCGAGCCTGAGGATTACGTAAATGCAGGGATCTTCGAGCTCTGAACCACGGTTTAAGGATTTAGGGATTTAGGGGTTCATTAGATTGGGGCTTTGGGCTCCTTTATAATGTAAACACAAAATCAATAACAAGCCCCAAGAAATAACATCGGTAATTCTTTAGCCCCTACATTATAACTTGAATCTCTGAGCCCCTCAAACCACAACGTCTTATCAGATTCTCTGCAGACTGCTGGCTCGAACCCGCAATCCTCTTGAAACCCGGGCCTCAACCCCCAAAAGTAGGTAAAATAATGGCCCAAGACCCATAAAGAGGCTATTATTCTACATACTTCTGGGGTCCAGGTAAACCCAGAACCCTGCCCTGTGATCCTGCAGCACTTGGGGAAATCCTGCTGATGAACAGAATCCTGCATCACACGTGAGAAGGAATACTGTAGGGGCCTTAATAATAAAAATAGGGTTTTGGGGCCCATTATTATACTATAGTAGTAAGGAGCCCCCTCCCAAAATAGTATTGGCAGATATTTAGGCCATTTAGGCCCCTACAATAAGGAAGTATGCCAGAGCTCTTATGCTTCAGGGTACTAAAACCTAAACCCTTGGCTCTGCCTATCACCGAGAACACCTCAAACAGCGCGCTTTTTGGAGGGCTCTTTCAGTGTTTTGTGGGGCTCCTAGTGGCTTATGGGGATCTCCTCCCTAAGCCCTAAACCCTAAACCCTAAGCCCTAAACCCTAAACCTTTTGTAGGTTCTACAGTTACCCAAAAGCCTGGAGTAACTTTCAGGAGGTTTCCCCATCTTCTCGGTGGTTTAGGGTTTAGGGTTTAGGGCTTAGGGCATTTGGGTCTTGCCAATTGGGATCTAAATCCGGCTGGACCTGATATGGAGGCCCTGAGTAATTCGGCTAGGGCTTGGGTAGTGAAATGAAGGACTTTAAGGGAGTACTATTATACTGTTTACTATTGCTCCGACTCGCTACCTCCTATTTGGAAGGTTTGACGCTACTAGTAACTAGCAGGGTTCAGGGCTTAAAAGGGTTCCGTAGTTTCTGTGACCTCCAGGACGAATTAGTTCAAAAGGTGTAGGACGTTTGAATGCCCTAAGGGGCCCCTCAAAAGCCAGAATGGCGCTGCACATCTCGCTAGGGCAATTCTGAACACAAAGCTTCGTGCGCCAGATCACGCAGGCAGAAGTCTAGCAATCACCCTGCGAAGCCCCGCGATCCCATTGCAGCCAGATCTAAGTACTTCGCTTTGGGTTTAAGGGTTAAGGGTTAAGGGTTTAGGGTTTAGGGTTTCGGGCTAAATCCAGGCTTAGTGTCTCAACCCTAAACCCTAAACCCTAAACCGGGTAGAACCTTGGACGAGGCAGGGGCCGCTCCAATGAAAGCTTCATGGTCCCGTGATGCAGTAAGGGTTTAGGGTTTAGGGTTTAGGGTTTAGGGTTTAGGGTTTAGGGTTTAGGGTTTAGGTAAGCCCTAAACTTCCTCAACCCTAAACCGTAAACACTGAACCCCTAAACCCTAAGCTTCCTAAACCCTAAGCCCTAAAACGCAGAACCCTAATGGAAAAGCCTGGAGAAGCCCTGGACCTTTCAAAAAAGCCGTAAAATAGCAGCCTTTTTATTAGAATAGGGTTTTGGGGCTCGTTAATATACCATAATTTTAATAAGGAGCACCCCAAAATAAACCCTAAACCATAAACCCTCAAGCGCCAGACCCCAAAATAACATAAGTAAGTATTAAGGCCCCTATAGTAAATCCTAAACAGTAAACCCCACAGGCGATGCTTATGTCAAGCCCTGAACCCCAAGTCCTTGTTTAGGGTTTAGGGTCTTGGGGTTTAGTGTTTAGGGTTTAGGGTTCAGGGTTTAGGGTTTGGGGTTTAGGAACAACTAGAACGAGGAGGTATAGTAAATAAATATAGCTTCCTTATGCTAGTAGCCTAGTTTAAGCTCCTTAACAACAGCCCAGTAAACCAAGCCCCGAGCTCAAGGGAAGCTTATGACGATTATGACAACAATGACCACGTGTTGTAGGGTTTAGGGTTGTAGGGCTTAGGGTTTAGGGTTTAGGGCGTAGGTTCAATTCATTACGACATGTAAACTCCTAAAGTTGTCACAGTCATTGCGCTGCTGTTCTGACTCTTGTTCATCTGGGTAGTGGTTTCAGACAAAGAGAAGTATTTATGAACAGGTACCGATTTTGAAGCTATAAACCTTTAAGCCCAATACCCTGGCCCAAAAAAGTTTAAGCTTTTCTTTTAGTAGGGGTTTAATATACCAAAAAAGTTTAAAGTTTACCTATTGGGCTCCTAAGTAAAGGAATCTAGAAAATTATTGTTGCAGCTGTAGAGCAGCTGCTTTCGTCGACATCGGCGCAGGTCGCGGAGAAGAGGTTGATACGGGCATTTCCTGGCCACGTACTCGACACCTCAGGCTTTGAGGGTAGGGTCTGGGGTTTAGCTTACGTCCTCAATATGCCAAGGAAATAAAAGGGTAAACTTTCAGATTGCTACTACATTATAAGACCCAGAAAGTTTGAAGGTTGGGTATTGGGGAACTAAGTTCGGGGACACCTCAGGCTTCGAGGGTAGGGCTTAAGGTTCGGGTTTAGGGAGTTGTCTGGGGATGCTCTTGGAGCCTGGGAGGGGCTGAGTACCCTAGCCCAAAAAAGGTTCACCTTTTGAACTATAGTAGGATTATAAGAGCCCCAAGAGGTTAAAGATTACCTATTCAGCCACTAAGTTATTTATGGCGCTTGAATTCGTGGTTGGGGTTTAGGCTTCGTGGGATCTGGCTGGTGGAGGTTTAGGGTTTAGGGTTTAGGGTTTAGAGTCTCGGGCTTAGGGCTCTTGGGGTCTTCCTAGAACCTGCGGGCCCCGGGTGGCTGGAGCAACATCGTTGTCGACATAGGTCCTCTGGAGCTAGTGACTAATGTAGCTACAAACGGCCCCTGCATTACCTTCAAGGAATTACGATTGGGCATGGGTGCCTCTGCGCACCTTGGTTTGTGATGCAGGAAGTACTCATCGCACGTAGCTTGAACCAACAGGGGAAGGATAGAGCGCAGCAGAATGGGCCTTATCGAATCCTGGGCAGAAGACCAAATATCTTTGGACTCTAGCTGCTAGCTACTTGATGCGCTCAGCTTAGCGCGGGATTCTCAAGGCCCCGAAATCCTAAACCCTAAACCCTAAACCCTGAACTCTAACCCCCTTAACCCTAAACCCTAAACCCTAACCCCTAAACCCTAAACCCTAAACCCTAAACCCTAAACCCTAAACCCTAGACCCTAAACCCTAAGCTCTCATCTTTTTGACATCCCGACGGCTCTCTGTCAGTCATTGGCATCTGCATGGTAAACGCACTGCAGACTCTCAGGAAACCACAAAGCCGCTACATAAGGTTTAGGGTTTAGGGTTTAGGGTTTAGGGTTTAGGGTTTAGGGTTTAGGGTTTAGGGTTTAGGGTTTAGGGTAAACCATTCTCAAGATCCCTATATACGTGAAGCTATATATAGACTCCTTAGATTTAGGGTTTGGGGCATAGGATTTAGGATTATCTATGTTCCCTGGAGTAAGGGCTGTTGCGTTGCCTAGGGACTCGGCGTATTTACCCAGGCCCTTGCATGTACGGTTCACTGGGGTGCGAAGCTTAAGGATTTGCAGGACATAAGGACTCTCAAAACGGGCTCCATGAGCACCAAACCCTTTAAATCCTAAGCCCCAAACCCCTAAACCTT